CCCCAAAACCCCAAAACCCCAAAACCCCAAAACCCCGTAAGTATAATACAGAAAAAAAATTGATAGTGAGTAAAATCACTGGAATTAGATTATTGAATTATAAAGAATATCAAGCATTGATAATAATTATAGAATTCTTAAAATGCTAGTTCATTAGCACACAAGCAATAAGAATTTGAAATAACTATATGAGCAGGGTTATCACATAACAAATCAAGCGAACGATTAGTATAATTCTGCATTGATGGCAAATGGTCGCTTTATGATAACTAAATCTATTGGGAAAGGCTCGTTTGGTGAAATATTCCAAGGAATTGATACTTAATCTAACCAAGAAGTTGCTATAAAGATGGTAAAATATTTAGCATATATTATGAATACAGGAACACAAGCATTGTAAAGTGAAAGTCTTAGCTGGCGAAGCGAAAATTCTTAAGCAGCTGCAAGGATTAGGTAAGCGTTTATTAATGTTTACATTTATTCGTTCTTAGAGGGGTTTCCAAAGCTTTATTGGTTTGGGCAGGAACACAATCAAAACATATTAGTAATGGAATTGCTTGGTCCCAGTTTATCTACACTCTTCAAAAATAACGGATCAAAATTTTCTTTGCAAACAGTGTTGAAACTAACTGATTAGATTGTATATTGCATATCTCATTTATTTTTTAAGTTACATCGAATTGAGCTGATGCACAACGCAGGTTATATTCATAGAGATATTAAACCAAGTAATTTTGTCATGGGAGTCCCAGGAACAAAGAATCAAAATAATCTGTACATTATTGACTTTGGATTGTCAAAGCCTTACAAAGACATAAAGAGAGGTATTCATTTCCCCTAGCTACCTCCAGGGCGTTCGCTCACAGGCACAGCTAGATATGCATCATTAAATTCACACTAAGGCTTTAGTAAAAAAGTTAATTTTAATTATTACATAGCACTTAGCAGAAGAGATGACCTTGAATCGATTGCTTACATGGTTATTTAGTTTTTAAGAGGAAATTTACCTTGGTAAGGAGCTGCTGGTGCTAATAAGCTTGAGAAATATTAAAACATCCTTGAAATTAAGATGTTGACAATTGATGAAATTTTGTGCAAAGAACTACCTGGTAAGTATCGTTTTCAATTTATACTGTCGACATAGAGTAATTCTGCCGCTTTTTGAAATATGTCAAGGATCTAGAGTATGATGAGAAACCTGATTACAAAAGACTGCGTTTGGAGTTTAAAGTATTGCTAATGGATACCTTCAATCAGAATGATTCATTCTAATATGATTGGCAACTAAAGAAACAAAAATCTTAAACAACTAAGAAACCTATGATTACTGTGGCTCCATTACAAGCTGATGAGTAGATTTTACAAAAGATAAAAGAGGATGAAAAATAAAAACATTTGAATTAGACATATCAAGACCAGTTGAAGCTTCCAAATAATCACTAAAATATGAATGAATAGCCAGAAGAATCATCTGTGAAATAATCCAAACTACAAGAGAGTGAGGAAGATGTTAAAATACCTTTGCTATTTCATAACTACGAAGGGTTTCCAATTTAAGAGGAGGTTTAATCAATTAATATAATAAACTAAGATATGGTGCTTGATACAGAAAATGATTCTTTTTACATATAGAAATAGGTGGCAGAAGATACACATGCTCATCATGCATTTAGCTTATAAGCAAACATTTCCTCATTTGCATTTTATCCAAATTAAAAGGCGAAGAGCAGAGTTTTCCATTTGACTTTGAAATAAGAATAGGCTAGGCTAAATAGATTAAAACAGCTTTATGGATAATACAAAGGTCTCTGTCCTAATTTTTTATTTTCGAAGGAAAAAAAGGATTCGAACAGCCTTTGTTCAATGGAACCAATTATGATAGAGAAAGATAATTAAGGACATGTCCAAATACTAGAACAAGTAAGTAAAAATCCTTCATCAATTGAACACCGAGTGTTAAAATGATATTCTTAGATTTAAAACCATTAATGAGTAAAGAGTAAGCTTCTTCTCAATTGTTGTCCTAGAATTTTAATTATCTGTAGTCGAATAACTTACATAGAATTGATATAATAAATATATTTAAGAAACTTTAATCATTTTGCAGCTGGGATATTTATGTTTATTTGGGGTTTTGGGGTTTTGGGG